TAAAGACAGGATGACAAGAGACATGAAGAAAAACAAAGTTAAGAATTAATATTTGGATAATAAGAAGGGAAGCCAGTTTAAGGGAAAAAAAAAGAGTAAGAATCACTGGAAATGTAACAGACACAAAACAGTATATCAATATGTAAGTTAAAGAAAGCTACTGAAGAATGAAAAAGGAACATGTACCAAATGACAAGTAAGTTGAAGATCAAGACAGTTAAGAGTTGCTCCATAAGCCTTAGGGACTATGCCTATTTCACTCATCTAGGATAAAATATAGTGTCCAGTTAAGTGTAAATAATTAATAAATATTCATTGAATGAAGGGACAAATGACAAGAATTTCATTTTTCAAAAAGTTAACTTTTAGCTTAGAATGAGCCTAAATTTTATCTGCTCAGGAAATCTTGCCCTTAAACACTCACTAGCCAAGACTTATTTTAATTTAAAATTTAGACAAAACCTCTGCCTCATGCTTTGTTTGATTTTGTCTTAACAGATTTTTAAAATGTTATTTGTCTGTTCTACTATTTTAGTGTAGTTTCTTTTTTCTCCTCCACCTTTATCAGTAAAATAGGAAGTGTGAGCACAAGGGGAAGGAAAGGTAGGCTTGAGAAGATGGATAAAAGAACTGTTCATAACTCAAATTTTAGTTAGTGCTGAATATGATTTGTTCCTCAAAGAAGATCACCTTTACTGGCTGTGAAACTCTAACTTACACATCAAGAATAGTTCCATATGAAAAACCTATCTCAGGTAGCCTAAGTAATAAACATACCAGATTATTCTCAATCGAAAGCCATTATACAAGCCTGAAGTCAATCTAAGAGAATTACCAACATAATAATTAATTTCCTTTACTATTAAAAGTCATCCCCAGGGTTACAGGTGAGGAGAGACAACTCAGGGATGCCCAAAGTAGCAAGAGGGAAGAGCAGGAGAAAGGTGATAAAAAGCCAGGAACCTGGACAGAGGAGCAGTCAGCCAGCCCCAGGGACAACTCAGGGATGCACAAAACAGCAGGGCAGAAGAGCAGGAGACAGGAGATTAAAAGCCAGGAAGCCAGACAGAGGTACAGTCAGCCACAGGGACCCAGTTGGGGGTGATATGAGAGGTCTCCAACAGCAAGACAAACTTGTCTGTCGGTTTA